CGTACAGTCAATGCATCTGGCGAACCAATTCAATACAGCCCAACAACAAACGTTTCGCACCAGGGAAGAGGGGCGTTAAACTATCTAAGCGCACAATCCCTACTCGGACAGAGAATGACAAGGATCGATATATATATATATAACATTTTTAGGCCAATCAGGCCACAGATTTGAATCAGGCCACCATACGACTAATCATGTTGACTTATTGTGTTGACTGGTCACATCATAGGTTTTGAACTCTGGTTTACCCTTCACTTGTGACCTCTTCCCCCAAGCACACACACACACACACCAACAACAACGACGACAACAACAACAACAACAAAGCCGCAGCAGCAGCGATGAGAGCTCTATTTTTCCTGCTCGGGACCTCAGTTCAGCCTGGGTCGATGGGTCTACTCCACATGATCATCATCTTCGAGAGGGTTTTCCTCCTCCATGTTTTCTTCTTCATCACACTCGATGGTTTCTTTACCATCTTCTGTGGTATCAGCCACAACCGATGCATCACCCTTCTCACCCTTCTCATCGCCGGTGGAGGGAAGACGCTCCAATTTGGACATCATATGAACCTGGTGTGCAAATTTGAGTTTAACCTGTGGGACAAAACCATATACAAAACAGGATCGGGTTGATTGCCAATTGCCAAGGTGCGGAAAGCACCTTCGCCTCTTCAACACTTTTGCCCTTGCAGACTGCATCCCAAGCCGCATCCTAAAATCCACCAAAGATATCAGGGGTACCAAAAACAAATACGAGGCACTAAGACTAAGCTTTCCACAATTACTTCCTTCGTCTTCTCGGAATCATACAATCGACCCCCGACCTAAGAGTGAGGCCGTGGGTATACCTTTTTTGAACCCAGCTTTGAATGCATCGCAGCCAAGCCAAACCCTTTATGGCAAGACACGCGAATAACTTCCTTGGAATTCAACTTGAAGGCCCATGTCCCATTCTTGTACATGTAGGGGTTTCCAAGCTTGGTCATGGAGGGGTCCGAATTTTTGCCTGGGTCGAGTGGTTGAAGGTTCACATGAGAAGGTGGGCGCAACTCAAAACAAGACCTGCCTGCTGGCTTCTTCAAGACCTGTGGCTCCTCAATTTCTGCCTCTGGGGTTTCTTCTGTGTGGGTGCCCGGTACCTTTTCAACCTTTGCATTCCCTTCAGCTTTGCCTTTGCCTTGCTCTTGGGTCTTGGTTTTGCTGCAGTTTGTTTCGGCACGGTCTTTGGTGTTGCTCCCTTGGGCCCCTTGGGCCAGGCAGACGCACTAGCGGTACGACCACGGCCACGGCCACGTGGTCCGCGTGTCCGCGAACGGCCGCGGCCAGCAACAGCGGAAGAAGCAGTCGCTTCTGTGACGGTTTTTTGGATTGCGAGGCCGAGGCAACACCTTTTTGGGAGCTGCTTCTTTTGGGGGTTCAGGGGCTTCTGCTTCTGCTGGGGATGCTTTGGGTTTGGTCTTTGCCTTGCCCTTGGCCTTGGTAGGCAAGGTCTTTGGTGTTGGAGCTGGCTTTGCTGCTGCCTGCTCCTACGAAGCTTTACTCAGTGTGAAAAGCAAACAAAACACATCACTTGAGAAACTGATGTACTGCATGTCCATTTACAGACCCTTCCCCCAAATTGCATGTCCTCCTCACTGTCTGTGACAGCCGTGATCGCTCCAAGGACCACCATGTCACACCGAAGATGGCCAGGCTAGAACGCTTTGTCGCGTGGATACGGCTGGAAAGCAGGGCAAAACTGACGCGACTGACGCATCAAAAGTGAGAGGAATGAATGCGCTGAGGAACTATGGACTATAGCCATTCTTGACATTTCTTTTACCACCGAGCACTCCCTCAGAGTTTCTATCTAAGGGTTGGAACGATTTGGATTTTGCACAATCCCCAAACTAGTCAGCTTGACTCCATGGACGGCATTAGAAAGCCAAAGGCGACAGTCGTTTGTCTCAATATGTTGACCAATCCATCCAGCTAGGGAGTCGAGCTGCGTGCCCCAATCTACTGACCTAGTCTGGTCTAAGCGCACGCGCTCACCTGGTACCAAGTGTTACCCTCCATCTCCAGCCCGCGCGTGAGCCATAGTTTCGGCTTTGCCGGCAAATCTTTGGTGGTACAGATGTGGCCAGGGTCACCTGCCCACAAAATGTCCGTGTTTCCCAATCTTGAACAACATCTCTACACCAGTCATCCAAAACAAGTTTCATTAGCTAGCCTCCCACACAATGCTGGCTTTCTTGGTGTTGCCAATGCGATTGAAGTTCCCTTTGAAGACCTGTCCCAAAAATGGATGCTTGACATTTGCCATGTCAGCTCCATCCAGTGCATTTGGGCGGAGGCAATGTGTTTTGTCACCCACCGCTGGCCGGATCGAAAAGCGAAATGGCGCCGCTACAGGCTCGCTTCCGTCCACTGCCTCAGTTCAAGACCAGTTTAGAGGAGAGCCTGAGGGAGGTCCGGCGTGATAATTACCCGTGCTAGATTTGGATCAAGGCACTGGTCTCATTTTTGCGGTATGCGAGTGGTCAAGGATCTGGACATCAACAAGCCCGTGTTGGGCCGACATCTTCTGCATCACACAACAGAGAGGGGTGAGCTTGCCATCCAACGATACCAAATCCTTGTCATCAGACACCCGCCATGGGATATAGCGTTTGGTGACGTCCTCAGCCCCATCACCTGAAAAGGTCAGGGGTTGATCTGAAAACCCAAAACTAGTCAAACATGTTGCGTTGCTAGATAGTCAACAAAATGTGCATTGTTGAAACCCCCGCCTGCAATCACTTTGTCCTCAAATTCTCCCAACCCAAATCCAAAAATTGGAAAGGCTTCCACCATCAGGGTCTCCGGTTTCTCGTTGCCAAGAAAGATTTTGAAGTCGGTGGTAATCACCACTGTTGGGCGCGCACCCTTTCCAGGTGAAGTTGCCAACCTCGCATGAGCGGAATATGGAACAAGGGAATACAGTCAGTTTAACATGAAACCTTCCATTTAAACCATCCTGGCCTTTCCGCTGTCAAGTCAGCGGCGGGAATCGGGGGGGAGGCTAATGACTCGGGAAGGATCCAATGCCTGAGCACCGTTGTCAATGGTAAAATCTGGCCGCGCGGCAGACCTGCTGGGCGTTGTGCTGGGAGCAGCGGTTTGACCCGAGCTAGCTGCATCTTGAGGGTATTTTGCAACTTCTTTGCTGCAAGTGCCTTGTGCTCTTCACTTCCAGGAGGGAAACGGCCCATCAGAGTGTCAGGCCACACCACTCGGCAGTCCCCAGACATAGCCAACAGCTTGAGACCAAGGACATTTTCCTCAGCTGTTTCTCGAGGACGAATCTTGGGCCCTGATTCCTCACTGCTGTCCCAAAACTCATAGCCCAGGGATGAGAGGGCTTCTTGAACCTTCGGATAGAATTCCTTCTTCACAAAGCCCAAATAGTGAAGCTGAGGCAAGGAGTTGTCAAAGATGCACTGTAGAGCAGCCCGTGCAAACTCACAATGCCTGATCCAGGTTGGTTTGAAGGACAAAGAATTGTGACCCATAGGGGAACAAGGAACCAACCATGAATGATGATTTGTTATAGCCATCAAGACATTGCTTTTGCAGGAGATGGGGAGGTACCTAGCTGCGAAAGACGTGGAGGCGCGAAGTGGTGCTACAAGGCTTGGAGATTTGGGGTGCCTTTGGATATGGACATGTTTCGGGGTATGATATCTGACCCTTTTCGGAGAACCCTGGCCTATTCGGCAGCACGTCGATGAATGCAAAGGCATCGGAATCGGTCAGATTTAAGCCAGCAGTGTATGCCTTCAAGATCGCCGAATGAACGGGTACTCCTTTCCTTGTGGCTAAGCAGGCTCGGGGAGAACAAATTTTTGTAGGAAGGGACGAAAAGAAGAACTCACAAACCAAAAACTTTCCGGTAAGGTCAAGTGGCTGCTCAGTGCGAAGACCAGCTGACATGCTTCCATCTTCCATGTCATATCCCAACATCTGAGCTGTTTTGATCAGCGGCGCTGGACGTCGACGTTTGGAGCTTCACAATCAGCAAAGCTGGTGGACTTGTAGTTGGTACTACTCGCCGCCAAACATGTCTGGGCCAATTTCCTGGTATCGTTCTTTTGAGACTCTGGCTTTGAGAAGGGGAGCAACACCACGTTGTTCGTATCGAGCTTTTGAGCAGTGAGGGCATCTTCCAAAGTCCGCCTATGCTTTGTAACAATCTGCGGCTAATCTGCGGTGTTGTCGAGCTTTGGACTTGGGGTAGTTGACAATGGCATACATTGTCCTGAGACATGTTCACGATGGCACCAGCCGTTGAGACAGCCGCTGACAAGTAGCTTGCGTTCGCAGGCCACAAGGTTGCATCCAGGGAAACAACAGTGTACCTCTAGCTGCCCCCAGGCTTCGGACCAAGATGCGCGACCAACACGACTTCAAAAACATGAAAAAAACAAAAATGGGACCTCAAATTGGTCTAAGCTTCTTCTTTCCACCCCTTCCATGGAATTGAGCGTTGAAGCTGGCAACGTCGTTCAAGGCACCAACCATTTGGTCCGCAGTTTCAACCAGCACGCAGCGTTTGGTCATCCAATTCTTGACCCACGCCGACCCTTTCCTTTTTGGCTTTTGATCATGCAAGGGCGCCCAACACAATGCCTATGGCAGCCCTAACATGCCCGGACCAGCCTGCAAAAAGTTGAAATGGTGTTGGAAGAATAGCCGAGGCGCGCCTGCCGATCCTGTAGAAACTTGGCATCCTTCGCGCCCTCTGCTGCCTCCACATCTTTGCTCTGGGACAGCTTGGCCTCCACAATGCAGAGATCATGGTCAAGTTGTGCCATGAGGTGCTTGAAGGTCGCAACCAAAACATCTTTGGCTAGTTGGTCGTCTTTCAGCTCTTGCTCCGCAGTCTGGAGCTTGTCGAACCTTGCCAGGTGAGGCCTGCGCGACAGGGCAAACAATCATAAAACAGAACTGGTCGGCCTAAGCCTAGCACATTCCTTAAGTCAGTTGTTGGAAAAGGTGCTCAGTCATTGCAAAACCCAATATAAAACGATCCAGCCTGAAGGCTCCGATGGCATTCACATCTCCAGGGGGAATGTATTGCTGAAGGACCATCTGGAGGTCGACGTCCAAGTACTGCTGGAAGAAAGCTTCATCAATCTCATCTACAACTGCCTTCCATTCCTTCTCAGGGCAACGAGATTGCAGCTCAGCCTTGAGGTGGAGATATGCCCCACAAACTTGGTGTTTTGACACCGCATCCTTGTAGTTCAGCGGCTTTCTAGAGCCCTCCGGAACTCTCGTGAAATCACCAATCACCCGCTTCGTAAAGAGATGGACCTTAGTTGGGTCAAGTGTTGGCCGCTTAGTGTTTTGTCAAGCCGGCCTCCAAAATCAATGCAGTGATATTTGTGATTGTGGCTGCAGCCAAGCCACCAGGGGATCTCCGTTTTGAGAGCCGTTAGTGAGCTGTGGGCTCCAAGCCTCCATCCCAGACATCGCTGATGAGAAGCCACGACTGAAGCATTCTGTGGCAATGGGATCGTGATAAATGAAAGCACGCATACCAAACGTTCGGACGGTGCTCTCAAGCAGGTCACAGATTGCCGGCAGCATTCCCCCATGAAGCTGAGCCACGGCTTTCGCCTCCGTTTTTCCTATGCTAAAAGCACGGCGCAAAGCTGTCTCGTTGTTCCAGTCCTTCGGATGGTCAAAGCTCAAAGCAAATACTAGGCCCTTGTCATGGTCTCTCAAGGAGTGAATAAATTAAACAAACCAAGTTGTTGTTGAACATTTTTTTCATGAGGTTCGCGCAGGGCAAACGCTGCTGGAAGTAGAAGAACCTTTTGAATGAAGGCAAGAAACATCGAAGTGGCCATCAACTGACTTCGAAGAATCCGCTTTTTGAAGGACACGGATTTGTCGGAGCATGTTAAAGCAGTGGGGCGCTCGTCGAGTCGATGTTGCTTGGAGTGTAATGCCTGAACCACATGCTGACTCTTTTCAATCTTTGAGTGGGATGTGAACCATGAATCATAGGGTCTAAATGATATTTGTGGTGCCCACAACTACTACCGGCTTTGTGGCTTTTGGCCTTCGCAATCTAACAGGAATAAACTAAACAAGCGACTGGTTTTGACTAAGTTGCCCCGGTTTGCGTTTACCTTCGCCTGAACCGTGCTGTACTGGACGATAGTGGCATGGATAGTTGCAAAACTGTCCTTCACAAATAGTTTCTTTGCTACAACGCCATCACACCAATGCTTCACTTGACATAGACCAACCCACCCTATGGTTTCAGTCCTTCACAAGTTTGGGGATTCGGTCAAGGCATTCCATCTCCTTGATTGCCACACAACAAGCGAGAAGACTCAAAGACCTTCGCCATCCCTTGACGTAGGCCACATGGAATGGCCCAATCAAAGAGCCTGGGTGAAGACAGGGGACCTTCAAGTACTTGTTCAATGTTGTCGTTTTCCACTTCCCTATAATGCATCCTCAAAACTTCCACGGTGAAGTGGCTTCAGAGGCTCATAAGGCTGTTCGAGGAATTCCGTGCTAATTTCAGATATAGATATCTTCTTAACGCCACCCAAATCAGCATCTGATCTAAACTTCACGGCTAGGACTGAACACTGTGAAGGCACGAAGGCAGCATGTGTTATGAACAGCCACACTATTCAGCTTGAACACTAAATAGTTACAAGGTGCGACTCTGTCAGGATTAGCTCGCATAGAATCAGCAGCTGCTCCGGTTCCTGGCAGCCTGCCAGGCCGAAGTCTGACCGCCATCCCAACATGTATGGGCGGAGCAGACAGGCACCGCCCGTTCCCAGCGTTGTGCAGTATGCCTTCCTGAGAAGTTCTTGAACAACATAAGATACTTGACAGGTTACGACTGCCATAGGGACAATAGAGAGCTAAGACTCAGACGCAGGGTCTGCTGGAAAAGCCGAGTCCAACCACATAGCAAACATCTCCTTGTCAGCCTTCAACGTTCTGGAACTATCACCACGAACACCCTCCCCACAAGTTTCATTTACGAAGAAAAAACTTTGCTTGTGGCCTGTGTGGGAAACTTCTGCGACAGGTATTTGTCAGCGCCTCCCACTGGAAGTACATTGTCAGAGATCCTGAAGCCAGCACGGTTGAATGCGGATGGCTGTTTCTAGATGTCAGCGTGCAACTCAAACACAATTCGAGTTGAGAATGCAAGCTATGATTTCTGCAACATAGGATGGAGTGTTCTCATCCTGCTTGAGACCTGGTCCCTTTTGACCTTTCTGTGTTTTAGACTTTGGTTGGACCGTGTTCGAAGCTGGTTGTTTCCGTTTTCCCATGGCTGGTGACGAGAGCGCGACGGCCAGTAGCACAAAACCCCAGTCTGGCTGCAAAGCAAAGGCAACATTTGCTTTGCACAAGCAACAAACTGTGAGTGTTATCGAGCTGAAGGCTTACAACCAACGCACTGACCGGTTTTCACATCCTTGCCAGGCTGGTGGCTGAACCTGGGCGCGGACGCTCGGTGGGCTTGAAAGGAACCCGGCAAGATAGTCAGTGTCAGTCCGACGGATTTGGCGGTTGTCAGTGTCAGTCCGACGGATTTTGGGGTTCTCACTGCCAGTCCGACGGATTTGTGGGTTCCCAGTGTCAGTCCGACGGATCCTACCCCGGATCCATCAGAGTGGCCCCGTCGGCTGCGATGCTGTAGACCAAGTCCCTCTTTGCTTTGGCAGTATAGCTTGTTGTTGAAATTCACCTCATCCCCATGGACCCCGTAGCGTTGACTCTCAAGGTAGAGCAAAAGGTAGCGCTTACCGGACTAGCAGGGTTAGCTAGGTAGTTAGTACTATTAGAGCTGATCCTGTAAAATACAGGTTATCAGCCGTAGGCTAGCTAGATTAGAGCTATGGACCCGATGGATGACGACGTCCCACCAAACTCCTACGGAAGTGGCTTTGACATAGTTCCGAGTGTGCCCAATAGTTTGGATGCAGTTCAACGGCATGAACAAGCGGTTGCACAAGTGGCTGCAATGGATCCAAGGGTTGCTTCGGAGGTGTACCAAGAGATGCTAAATAGTGGTGGTAGTGTTACTCTTCAAGAGGCGACACAAGCTACCCTAGCAGGTATGCCGTCAGCCACCGTAGCTGGTGCGCCAACAGTAAACAACTTGTTGGCAATGACTCGGCTCAACGTCGTCAACCTGAATGCAACGCCAAACGACGAAGAACTACGACGGGAGTTACAACAACATGAGTTTTTGCTCAGCGAACAAGCCAGGAGGGAAGCTGAAATCGAGGCATTGCGCTTCAGGAGTATTTACGAAAGAGAAGCTTCCGAATCTATAGCGGCAACAAAGGCTGCCGCAGAGCAGGCAATGTTGAATGTTCAACAAAGGGCCCAACAGCAGGAACAAAGTGTTCAGCAAATGGTCCAACAGCAAGACAATGTTGCAATCAAACGGTTGCAAGGTACATTGGAGGAGCACAGGGAACATTTTCAGCAGCGGCTAGCTCAGGCGACAGCAGCTCATGAGAAAGTTGTACAGGAAAAGAATGCCATGGCGGAAGAAGGCAATGCTTTTGTTGACAAAATGAGAACTGAACATCACCAGTATGTTCAGCAACAGGAGGCTAAGCTGAAGGCAGCTCTAGAGGCAAAGGATCAGGCAAGACATTCGTCTGCTGAAGAATCCCGGATCGCCATAGAGCTTGACTTCAAGCGAGAACAACTGGACAGTTCGTTAGCAATTGCACAGGCAAAGATCAAAACTCTTGTCAATGAGATGGAGACAACAAATAAGCAATATAAGGTTGATCGGGAAACGCAAGAGCAAACTATAGTTGAGCTTCGCAAGGACAATGCAATGTTGAAGGGTGAAATGGACGAGCTCAGACGTGTTGTACAATCCTTGACAGACAGGGAAGAGGAACGCAAGGAAGCGGAGCGCAAGGCGCAATCCTCTAGCCCCGTTAAGCCAGGGCCGCAATATCCTGAGCCACTTACACCTTCTGCTCGACAAGACGCTCACCCAATTGGTCAACCGCGATCTTTTGAACCTCTACGCACGGAAGGCACTGTTCCAGCAACCTTAGACGGTAAGCCCCGTGAGGAAGGCGGATCCCCTATAAAGACGGCTATGGATGCAACAGCGTCCACGCGCAACACTGGATTCCCATCAATGTTCTCAGGGACAGGGGCGCCCGCAACGGAACAGGCAACGGCCTCTACGGACAGGCAACAATTCAAACAACCGGAGCCGTGGACGGAGTACATGAAGAAGTCAGCACAATATAACTTCAGTGATGATCCTTTGTACAAAAGCTCCTTTAATCAGGAAGCAACAAAGACTAAGGATGATCGCAAGGACGAAGGGCCGGCTTCTCAGGTAAGAACTCCACAAGACCAAGATTTGGGGGAAATCATCAAGAAGGCCTTGCTAGAAGGGTTTAAGGGCGCTAAGAGCAAAGACTCTGACAAACCCAAGGCAAAGGAGGCTGATAAGATAGATCTTCCCGAATTCCCAAGTCCTGATAGGTACCGCACTTGGAGGGCCGCTGTTCGCGAAGCGATACGGTCCGCGTCCGATGACCCAGACGCTGCGTTCGCATGGGTGCTTGAGGAGTACGCTGTTCGTGAAGACAAAGCCAAGCTTTGTTCCGAATTGGCTGACCCAGGCAAGTTTCGGACCTTAGACACGAAACTACTTGCTGCTTTAACTAAGGTTGCCAAAGGTGAACTGTCTCAGCAGATCCTTAATTATAAGGAATCTGAGGCACAGCAAGGTAGGATCGTCCGTGGTCGTCAGGTGTTGCTCATGTTTGAAGTCCACTTCAAGACCAGTGAAGAAGCGGGTGCACTGTATGGCACTGAGGACCTCCTCAAGATCTCGCTTGATAGCGACGACTTGAAATCCTTTCTAAGAAAATGGGAGAGTGTTCTGACCGGAATGAGTCATGTCCCAGACCCGGCAACTCTCAAGGATTTGTTTTATAGAGAGGTTAGGAAGTCCCGCAAGCTCAGATTTGACCTTGATGTTTATGAACGAGCGCCGGAGGGAAGTAACGACAGAAGCTATGAATTTCTTATCAATTCTGTTCGACGTTACCTTGACAGGGAAAGGCTCAGGACCAATCGCGAAAAGATATCACAATCACACGCGGCAAAGTTCGCAAACCCGGCACCGCACGACAAGCGCACGCGAAGCCCAAGTTATGGCAAACGAAGCACAAAGGGTGACGGAAGCAATCAATGCTATGAGTATGCCAAAACTGGTAAGTGTAAGTACGGGAGCAAATGCAAGTACTCACACGACTCTAGCGCCCGTCCCCGCTCCCTTAGTCGGGAGTCGTCTCGTTCGCGTAGCGCAAGTCCGAGCAGCCGTTCATCGTTCAGGTCAAGCCGATCTCGAAGTTCGTCAAGACACACTTCCCGCTCCAGTTCAAGGAACTCATCAAGAAGCTCCAGTAGAGGGAGGAAATCTGACAAGCCATGCAGGTTCTTTGCAAAGGGTAACTGCAAAAGGGGTGACAAATGCCCGTTTAAACACGGAGACACTGCAACACCAGCCCCGCACAGAAGGAGTCCCTCGCCCGCAGCTAAAAGGTCTAAGG